TTTTAAACTCTTTTTACATGAATTAATAAATATTTTTATATTTTAATAATTCCTATATAATTAGATTAGCTTTTATTAAAAAAAAAAAAAAAACTCATAATAAAAGGTAATTTGTGGTAGAATTTTAGAAAAATTATTTTATTTTTTATATTAATAATTCTAGTCTACTTAGATTTTCTTTAATTAAAAAACTTATAATAAATAAATAGGTAATTTGTATTAGAGCTTAATATAAACTCTTTTTATATCAATTAATAAATATTTTTTATTTTAATAATTATTGTCTAATTACATTTAGTTTCATTAAAAAACTAATAATAAATAGATAAATAGGTAATTTGTGTTAGAGTTTTTTAAAAACTCTTTTAAAACCTCTTTTTGTATCAGTTAATAAATAATTTTTTATATTAATAATACTTGTTTAATTAGGTTTCTTTTTATTAAAAAAATTCATAATAAATAGATAAATAGGTAATTTGTGTTAGAGTTTTATAGAAACTCCGTTGATAGAGTTTTATGGAAAATAAAATAGGTAATTTGTAATAGAGTTTTATAGAAATTATTTTATTTTCTTTAAATATATACTTGTCTAATTAGATTTAATTTTATTTAGAAACTCATAGTAGAGTTATATAAAAATTATTTTCTTTTTTATATATCAATTAATAAATATTTTTTATATTAATAATTTTGTCTAATTATATTTATTTTATTAAAAAATTGATAATAATAAATAGATAAATAGGTTAATTTAAATTTTATTATGTAAATTTTAGTATTTTATCATATTATTTAATAAATATTTTTTTACACAAATAAATAAATACTGAAACTCTTTACACATCTAATAATAGTATAGATAAAAACTTTTTTTACAGAGCTTCTGTATTTTACTCTGGAATTCAACTCTTTTTATATCAATTAATAAATATTTTTTAATATAAATAAATAAATAAATAAATACTGAAACTCTTTCGCAGAACTTCTGTATTTTACTCTGCAATTCTAGATTTCTAGAATTCTCAATTTCTGCACCCCTTCCTCCTTCCTCCATGCCTTTATTTATAGGTTTCTTGGATGAATAGGATAATGACGTGTGTCCTTTTCTGATAATAACATAATCATAACTGGGCCGGGCCAGTTATATTGTGATAATTATCCATAAAAAATAACTAAAAATAAGAGTTTTATGTAGAATATGATTGATTTTATTAGGTGATTTTTAGATTTTTATAAAAACTATAATTATCCATAAAAAAAAAAAAAAAAAACTAAAAATAAGAGTTTTATATAGAATGTAATTGGCTTTATTAGGTAAATTAGATTTTTTTTCATTAAAAAACTTGTAAGAAATAAATAATAGGTAATTGGTGTTAGAGTTTAATATAAACTCTTTTAAAAACTCTTTTTATATCAATTAATAAATATTTTTTATTTTAATAATTTAAAAACCTCCTTTTGTATCAGTTAATAAATAATTTTTTATATTAATAATACTTGTCTAATTAGGTTTCCTTTTATTAAAAAACTTATGATAAATTGATAAATTAGTAATTTGTGTTAGAGTTTTATACAAACTCTTTAAATATATCTTTGTTAAAGAGTTTTATTGATAATAAAATAGGTAATTTGTAATAGAGTTTTATTGAAATTATTTTATTTTCTTTAAATATATACTTGTCTAATTAGTTTTAATTTTATTAAGATACTCCTAATAAAAGTTAATTTGTGGTAGAGTTTTATAAAAATTATTTTATTTTATATATCAATTAATAAATATTTTTTATATTAATAAATCTTGTCTAATTAGATTTTCTTGTCTAATTAGATTTACTTTTGGTAAAAAAAACTTAAAATAAATAGATAAATAGGTAATTTGTGTTTTAAAAACCTCCTTTTGTATCAGTTAATAAATAATTTTTTATATTAATAATACTTGTCTAATTAGGTCTCTTTTTTTCAAAAAACTCATGATAAATTGATAATTGGTAATTTGTGTTAGTGTTTTATATAAACTCTTTAAATATATCTTTATTGATAGAGTTTTATTGATAATAAAATAGGTAATTTGTAATAGAGTTTTATTGAAATTATTTTATTTTCTTTAAATATATACTTGTCTAATTAGTTTTAATTTTATTAAGATACTCATAATAAAAGCTAATTTGTGGTAGAGTTTTAAAAAAATTATTTTATTTTATATATCAATTAATAAATATTTTTTCTATTAATAAATCTTGTCTATAATAAATAGATAAATAGGTTAATTTAAATTTTATTATGTAGATTTCACTGTTTTATAGATTTTTTTTTTTTTAGTAAAAACTCTTATCATATCATTTAATAAATATTTTTTTATATAAATAAATAGTGAAACTCTATACACATCTAATAATAATATAGATAAAAACTTTTTTTATATCAATTAATAAATATTTTTTTATATAAATAAATAAATACTGAAAACTCTTGACAGAATTTTTGTATTTTATTCTGAAATTCAACTCAATTAATAAATATTTTTTATATAAATGAATAAATACTAAAACTCTTTGGCAGAGTTTCTGTATTTTATTCTGAAATTCTGGATTTATAGAATTCTCAATTTTTGTACCCCTTCCTCATTCCTCCATGCCTCTATTTATAGGCTTCTTGGATGAATAAGATGATGACATGTGTCCTTTTTTTGGTAATGATAATCATAATTGGGCCGAGCCGGTACAAAAACTATTTTTATATCAATTAATAAATATTTTTTGATATAAATAAATAAATACTGAAATAGTAAAATAGTGAAACACTTTGCATATTTAATAATAGTATAAATATATATATCTATTTCTAGTTTTTAATTATTTGGAATCCGAATAATATTTATGTAAATGAGTTCCGATATTATTATTATTTTATTAATATTTATGAAGTCACGATGATATCAACTTCTAATCATCATAAAATTAATTCAATTGTTGACTCTTATCATTATAGAGAATTAGACTTAGAGCATCCCATCGCATCCATACTTAGATATTGGCCGAACGCTGTGGCAATAGAAATGATTTGGTATGGGAATTCCACACTTGTGACCCTTACGCTAGAATTCACACTGCATGAAGTGGGGTCTGACAAAATAAGAAATGGTGGGCCTTGTGTCTAATTATACTTTACAAGAAAAAAAGTTAGTGTAAAATAATTATTGTATGTATTGTATCAATTAATTAATTAAAAAAGTGTTATAATTTAATTGATTAAAAAGTGGGCCCCATGTGGATCCCACTTTTAGGGTTGAACTAAGGCTGTGTGACTTCATAATGTAGGCATTCAATGCATGGCAAATCCTGGTAGTAGAGATTAGAGCATAGTTTGTAGGGTAGGACAGTGATCCATCAGTTGAATAAATCATAGGTTGGGTCCTTGACAATGTAAGTGGTACTAATTACTAATTGGACTTTGAATGAAGACACTCCCTAGAGTCAAATCCAATATAAGTTACCCAACTTGGAGTGGACCCTTTAATAGGATTTGTATACATGGGCCGAGGATGGACCCAGATATTTCAAAGAGACACTTGCAGATTTTTTTGTTTTCGGTTGAATTCAAGTTACACAATTTTTTTGGAATATGTATCGTTTTTATGTTTAGAGTTTTTATGTTTCAAGCGCGCTCTCGCTCTCGTTTAAATTCTCAATATTTATGACTTAATTCTACCTCTTTCGAATTTACTCTCGCTCCCGTTCCTGCTTTATGTGACTTAGGGTTGAATGCAATAAAGTGGGATTAAACTTTAAATTGTAAAGATTTTGCTATAATTACGATGATAATAACTTATTTTATAAATTTTATTAAAATATTTTTAACTAGAAGTTAAAGTAACAAATAGTTGGATTTATTCATTTTCTACACATGTCTAATTCTTAGGATTAAGATAGTCTGAAAATAGACTTTCTATCATAATTGATTATTTTAAAACCAACATCACTATTAAAATAGTAAGGGAATTTATATAATTCAATTAGTTAGGCAAAAAAAACAAACCTATTTTTTTTTTTTTTTTCCTACTCCACCCATTTCAATCAACTCTCTTCTTTCAGAAAAGCAACTTATATTATTAGGACAAAAGAGGAAATTAAAAGTTTTAAAAGTGTTAAAATTGAAAATTAAACTTCCAAGTTTTTAATTTCCATTAATAAATTGTTCGAGCATCACACCATAACAATATTATATATATCTATGTAGAAACAAAAAGAAAAACAAAAAATCAGTATCTAAAACATAAATAAATAAACGTAACCAACAAAATGTCAATTAAATTTTTTTAAAAAGTAAGAGTTTATTATCTGATAACTGAGGAGGCATGTTTCTTAAACTTTGTTTTTGCTAAATGTTAAGGCCTGATGCTAACTCTAAAAATAAAAAAACACTCAAGTTGTGAGGAAAATGTTTCACAATCTCACTGATAACAATTAAAACACTACCATCTAAGTAGTATCTGTATCATGTATCAACCCAACCCAATTATGATTTCAGTCAAAATGTTAAACACCTATCCGTAGAAAGAGGTGTGATTACGAATAGATGTGATTAACACATATTATACTCTAACTCTTATGTTAAATTAATTCAATAACAAGGTACAATGCATCAGTTTAGGAGTAATCTTCAAAATTAACAAATCAATATCCTGATATTATGCATTATAATAACAAAAGAAAATTAAAAATAAAAATTTGAAAATAAAAATATGACAGAAAGGTTGAATATATCCTTCCTATATTACACAAATTGTATTTCTATATAAAACAAAACATCTAGGATTTCTCAATAGGCTAAATCAAAATATATCAACCAAAATCAACTCAATTTTACTTTAGACAATTGACCGAATAATGCATAGAAAATCCTATTTGGATAATTAATAAAAAAAATTATCAATTTATTTGTGAACAATTCACCTAATCCTATTTGAGAATCAACTAGTGGAAGCAGAGTATGGGGCAGTTCATGCCAAGCCCCTTCCGACACTACGGAATTCACTCAAAAGCATGCTTTTTGTAACTATTTTATTTTTCAAGAAGTAACTCTAGAGCTTTACACTTTTGCTTGTCAAAATTCTTGTTATGATTTTTTATTATTTTTATTCTGAAAAGATTTCCATCTTCAAAAAGTTTGGCATGTTGATAAAAATTGTTTCAGATTCAATCTCTGCAGATTTCTAATCCAATTCAGATTTTTTAGAAGAAGAAGAAGAAGAAGAAGAAGTAGAAGTTATAGAAATTAAAAAAAAAAAATGTTTGTTTTGCTGAAATAAAATGTAGATTACTGTGATTACCTCAAAATGCAATGCAATGATTACCTCAAAATGCAATGCAAATTTTGTTACTTTATATCGTAAAAAAAAATATATATATATAAAAAAGATAATAAAAAATTTCACATTTAACAGACCTTGAATAGTTGATTTAGAAAAAAACATTAAAACAAAACCCATACGTACAAGTTAGCAGTTGCAGAGAGAGAGAGAGAGGCGGGCAAGCTTGAGAGTTGAGAGACAGCAGGCCAGCGGCTGAAGCTTGCGAACGGCGAACCCGAACTGGAACAGCGGGCAATGGAAACTGAAAGATATGGGTTTTGACTTTTTGAACAATCTGAAATGATATGCCGATATGGATTTTGATAAATGTCATATGTAATTTGCCCAAACCTCAAGGGACGTCGATCGTGAAGGCTGAAAGGCTCTGACTCTCTTGTGCGGCTGTGAAGGCAGACTAACAGTAAAGTGGTAAGTAACTTAAATCCAATTGTGAGCTTCAGTGCAAGTGCTTTGTCCTTAAGGCGTAGGTATGAAACAACATCGTGGATCAAACCTGAACAAATGAGTTGCATCATAAGTCTCCAACGTGGTTTCAGTTATGACTATCCATTGGAGCAAGTCGTTCATCTTCAAGCTCAAGGCCACATCTTTCGTGCTCATGAGGAGACCTCAGTGGCAGCTCTATCACCATTTGATCACAGCATGCATTCCCAAGAATCCGTCTGTTTCACTTCGTTGCTTTGCATCAAAATCAAAATCAAAACCAAAACCAAAACCCAACAATTCCAGGACCATAGACTTCATCTCGTTGAACTACAACATCACGTGTTTAATCCGAAATGGTCGAATCGATGATGCCAGGACAATGTTTGATAAAATGACCCAACGAAACACTGTCACGTGGAATTCAATGATTACTGGGTATGTGAAACGAAGAGAGATGTCAGAGGCACGGAAACTGTTCGACGAAATGCCAGAAAGGGACATTGTGTCTTGGAATTTGATGATATCCGGATATATATGGTGCCGTGGGAGTAGATATATAGAGGAAGGGAGGAATTTATTTGATCGAATGCCTAAAAGGGATTTTGTATCTTGGAATACAATGATCAGTGGGTATGCGAGAAATGGGAGGATGGATGATGCATTACGTCTTTTTAATAGTATGCCCGAGCGGAATGTGGTCTCTTGGAATGCAATGATTACTGGGTTTTTACAGAATGGTGATGTGAAAAGTGCAGTTGAATTTTTTGAGAGAATGCCCACACGTGATGCCGCTTCCCTTAGTGCACTTGTATCGGGTCTAATTCAGAATGGCGGATTAGACAAGGCTGCATCTGTGCTGCTTGAAAGTGGGAAGAGGGATGATGGTAGAGTAGATTTAGTTCATGCTTATAACACCTTAATTGCGGGTTATGGTCATAGAGGGAGGGTTGATGAAGCTAGACGCCTTTTTGATCAAATTCCATTTTACCATGATCAAGAAAATGGTGATAATGGGCGGTTTGAAAGAAATGTGGTATCATGGAATACCATGATAATGTGCTATGTGAAACAAGGCGATATTCTTTCTGCTCGGGAGCTCTTTGACCGAATGACAGTGCGTGATACTTTCTCTTGGAACACCGTGATCAGTGGTTACGTTCACATGTCAAATATGGAAGAAGCCTTAAATTTGTTCCATAAAATGCCAAATCCTGATGATTTTTCATGGAATTGTATGATCACGGGATTTTCCCAGATGGGTAACTTGGAACGTGCTCGTGGTTTTTTTGAAAGGATGCCCCAGAAAAACCTGGTTTCATGGAATTCCATGATAGCAGGATATGAGAAAAATGGAGACTGTGTGCAAGCAATAAAGCTTTTCAGTCAGATGCAAGTTGAAGGGGAGAAACCTGATCGACACACCTTGTCTTCGATTCTCAGTGTTTGTGCTGATTTTGTGGTGCTGCCTCTGGGTATGCAGATACATCAGCGGGTCATTAAAGTATTTATTCCAGACGTACCATTAAATAATTCCCTGATTACTATGTATGGGAGATGTGGTGCAATATCCGAGGCAAGGGCCATTTTTGATGACATGAAATTGCAGGAAAATGTAATCTCCTGGAATGCCATGATTGGAGGATATGCATCTCATGGATTTGCAGCAGAGGCTCTAGAACTTTTTGAATTAATGAAGAGGCTTAAAGTGCAGCCTACTTATATTACATTTATTTCAGTTTTGAATGCATGCGCCCATGCTGGCTTAGTGGAACAGGGCAGGATGCATTTCAAATCCATGGTTAGTGATTTTGGCATTGAGCCAAGGATAGAACATTTTGCCTCCCTTGTGGACATTGTGGGTCGGCATGGCCAAGTTGAGGAGGCAATGAACTTGATTAAAAGCATGCCCTATGAGCCAGATAAGGCTGTATGGGGTGCACTATTGGGTGCTTGTAGGGTGCATAACAAGATAGAGTTAGCCAGAGTTGCAGCTGAAGCATTGATGAGGCTCGAACCAGAAAGCCCTGCTCCTTATGTGTTGCTATATAATATGTATGCTGATGTTGGCCAATGGGATGATGCAGCCGAAATTAGGATTATGATGGAAAGATGTAATATCAAAAAGCAAGCCGGATATAGTTGGGTAGACTCCTCCAATTGCTAATGATATTTATGTACTGATCGGAAGTTGTGATCAAATTTTCAAAGTTTTGACATTGACATCAATTGGGTGCCATTTGTGTATACAACACATCCCAAGAGTTATGATTTGCAATTGTGGAAGTAGAATTATGAAGCAATCATTTAAATGCTGCCGAGACATATTATTCATTTTTACTGCTTTATGGAAATGGGACTACACTTGAGGCATTTTTGAACATTGGGACCTTCAATTTGCTTTGGGAGAATTTGTTCGTGTTGACAAACTCTTGCAGCTAGTGATGGACCCAGGTAAGAGTGTATCATGGACTCATGTTACAAGCCCGCAAGCACTTGTACAAAATTATCCAAATGTTTATGAAAGGCAAACTTTATACTGTTACTTTTTCTTTCTTCATCTAGTTTATACAATCCAGTTTGTTGGGTATGGTTCAATTGTTTGGAAATCATTCAGAAAACATTAAGAACTTTTCACTTCTACCTAAAGGCTAAAGTTGTAGTAGTATCCCGATTTATTGCACAATTCTGGAATGATGACATGTACTTCTTAATTCTTGTGTTTTTCAGAACAAGTAAAGCCTTTTCCCTTTTCTTATTACTGATATATATATATTATATTTCTATTGTTGCTATGAATCTGCTCTTTGTTGGGTATGTTTGGGCTTGATAAGTGGACTATACTTGGTCTATTAATCATAAAAAAATAGTTTATAGTGTATTTTGGAAGACAATTTGTAAAACTATGAAATTTCTGTGACTTTAGAGAGTCAAATGCAATTATAATTACCAATTATAATTAGTTTCTTTCTAAAAAAGGTTTTCTGCAGGAGGTGCATCACTGTTGTGTTTCTCTCCTTTATATTAAGAGGTTTTGAGAAAAATGGAAATGAACCCAAGTGTATTCTATGCAGTGGTGACTTTGTGAAGATACAAGGATTAAGGCAACTCATTTGATATGAAATTGCAGTATCCTGTGTCAGTTGTAAGTTAGTCTACTGTGGATGATGTGGTATTAGCCTCAATATACGGGATTTTCAGGGAAAAAAAAAAAAAGAAGCTATTCTGTAGCTGCATATGAGCTTCCTCCCTCAAGAGGCCATGTAGGATGGCATCCTTGACTTGCATTTATAAAGTACAATAATGAAGTGAAGCATCTTTGGAGCTTATGGCCTTGATAGTACTTGAAAAGATGATAGAATTGAAAATCTAAGTTTTGCTTTGATGCCAACCCTCCTCTCTCCCAACAAAATCAAAATAAATAAAGCTAAGATCCACAATAAAGCAGGCCCTTGCCTTTAATGACACTGAAAGCAACAAATAGGGTGCAAACCCATGTAAATGTATCCAAGATTTGTGAAAACCTTTCCCTAGTGTTCCAGCCAAAATTGTTTTCAGTCTTTAACTGATTTATCTTAATGTACTTTATTGAGCCACTATTTTATCTGGTACTTAGAAGTCTTTACGGTGGTCCAAACCTTAGTTGAACCTTTCCCTTAACAAATGAAGCAATTCTAGAATGCGGAGAATGTCATTTTTGGTCCGTTTTTCAGCCGTGGAGTGCTTGAATCTTCTTACAACTCATAGAATTTTGCTTTTAATTGGAATAATTCGTACTTTCTGGAGTGCCATAATAGCTGATCTAATTGATGATCTGGGCATTGCCATACATTATAATACTCTCTACAGCCTTTTTGAGACATCTCCACTATACTTTGGGGTTGTTTGTGAGAGACGAGCTTGAAAATTCGTGTCTTCAAGTTTGATGATTTTTTCTTGTTTAGAGTATATCCCCTCAATTTATTGTGGTTTTTCTAGGATAAGGCTTCCACATCAGTCATCACCTTGCATTTTTATGTGGTATTCATTTTTTCGTTAGTTGAGAGAGACAGTAGGAGTCCTTACAGAAGCCTCCTCACCCACATCCACAAATTACTATTTTCTTTTCTAAGATCAGACTTAAGGCAAAGAAGAAAGTAGGATTTCAGTATGGCTATTCAGTGGGATCGTGGAAGAAACTTTATTTATTCTAATTTTGGAAGCATGGAAGAAGCTTTTTTTTTTTTTTTTTAATTTTTTATTACTATTTTAAATCTTGTATTTTGGGTCTGTATTTGAAGGAAATAGACAAGAGATGAACATCTTTTGCTTAAGACTCTATGAAACCATTTTTTCGGCAAAGAGAAGTTATATCTCAGGAGGAGGGTTGATGGGGGAGTGGGTGACCTTGTTGGAGGCTATGACCCTGATTGTGACTATTTTAAGTTTAAGATATAGAAAGTGTTTTTTTTTTTTTTTTTTTCTGGCAAGGGTGTCTTTTCTGTTGTCTAACCTTAATGTATGGATTTAGGAAAAGAAGGATCCGTGGGGTTCATAAACAGAATGGTAGAAGTATAACTGCTAAGTTGGAAGTCATTGTTTTCAATCTCATGATGTTGAAAGTGGAGAACAGAAGAAATTTTAACTTCTGAAAGGTTTGTGGAAAGAAATGGAGATTTGCAAATGGTCTTTCCAATACTTACGTCTTATATGCAGTAATTTAGAGTGATGGTATATAATCTGGTACAATTTGAGGACTTATGATGATGCTCTTATTTTTGTTATGTTTAGAGAATGCGCATGGCTTTTGGGATACAACCTGCCCTGCCTATTTTGATGAAGCATTTGGGCTCACAAATGGTGCATCAGGTTGTGATGGTGATTTTAAAATTTGTTTGATTCATATTTCGACTCAGGAACCTTCCATCAGATTTGATTCAGATTTGACTTTTCCAAGACTCATAGACCGCCTCCCACTTGTGACATTTGTTTTAGTGGAGATCCAACTGTCTTTCAAATGGAGAACACATGACTTGCATAATAAACTCTTTCTATTTTGGTTTCCAAATGGTGGGTATCCATATATCTGATACCTTGTTTGCTTCGGCTTCAATCTCTGGAAGCTTTATAAGCTAAAACAGCGGAATGAAATAATTTTTTTTTTTTTTTTTTTTTTTTTTTTTTTACAGTGCTAGGTGTTTTAAGTTTATTTACCCTGAAAGGATTGTGACACTGATTCGTATTGGAGGATCCGAAAAGAAAAGGGTATGGTAGCTAAAATAATTTCAGGAGTGTGCCTCTCCTTAAAGAGGTAAGGTAGAAATGGAAGTAACATATTAGATGGTCATCTGAGGCCCGCAAAGCATATGAAGTTTCTTCTGTGGGACTGCATTCAGTGTACAAAAACAGAACTAGGTATTTGTACTGAGGTGGTAAATATTAGATTGATATATGGAGTCATAGAAGAAGTGCCAGTTGAGATTTTTGTTGCTTCATTACATATTAGGTCTGAACGGGCTGAACTAATCTCTTTCCAGAGCAGCGGGTAAATTATGTGAAGAGTGGGTGAGGAGAAGAATAAATGATATCAGTAGCGTACTTATCTCTGATGTTAGGTCCGCTTTCTCTGGTTCTATACTAGAAGGATGTGGGTCAGAAATTTACAGAGGTTATGGGGAACATTTTGCGGTAGAGCAGTATGACAAGGGAAGTGATATTGTTTTTATATCATTAAATTTTTGATGATTTCATAATGATAGTACTTCATTTTTATTCATGAAATTTGGTAGGAGCTTGTACATGGTCATTGCTATGGGGTATGGTGTATTGTATTTGGCTTGAGGGCTGCATCATGTTTTTTATGTCTAATTTCGTATCTGTTTCCAGATGTAGGTCTGTTGTCATTTTCTTAAACTAGTGTCTTTCTACTGAAAAATTATGGGAGTACGATCGGGCTTCTAGTAATCTTATTCTAACATTTTCCTGATGCCCACACGAATAGTAACAGTTCCTTTATTCTATGGTAGTAGAATACCAAAATGCATATTTAGTTAAATCCTCTTGAAATTCATATATGATGAAAGGATTTGTAGCTAATGGGTTACATTATACTTCCAGGAGCAGGAATGCTTAGAGCTTAGAAAGGAAAGAGACAAGAAAGAGGAGCAGCTTAAGTCTGTATTTTCACACGTTGAAGCAAAAGATGCTGAGGGTCATTGTTCAAAGATTAAAAACTTGTAAGTTGAACATATCTTTCACTTTTATACGGTATCCACTAGTTGGCTGCTTAGTTGATTTTCAGTCTCATGTTCCTCCTTAATCATTCAAGTCACTTTGGAGTTGAACAAAAGGTACTGTAGTCTTAATAATAGTTTGAAATGGACTTACAGTATCATATTAGTTTGAGTCATTAAAGTTAATATGGCCATAGTGAAGTTTATATCATTTTCCCCTTTTTCTTTTCAGAGGTCCTTCCATTGCCTGTCTTTTTTTTTTTTTGTTTTTTTTGGGTCAATTTTATTAATCTGACTGGTGGTTTCTTCTTTCTGTTTATCTTTTAGTATCTGAAGAATGGATCATTACATCTGCTGCGTCATTTGAGGATGAAAATTTAAACTGTGACTGATGAAAAAAAAAACAAAAAACTTTGTGCATTCTAAATTTAGTCTGGCGAGGGAAACTGTTACTTGTTTTTCAAGCACACAGATATATAAATGGTCTCTATGTATGTATGCATGTATGAATGACGGCCATGGTTGTACACCTACAATGCACTCGCTTTAGAGAGATTCAGCAAATTGAACTCCATCTTTGGTCTTATATTTCATATTTGGAGAGGCTTCCAGGTTTTAGCTTGGTTTTGTATTAGAGCTAGGCAGCTAACTCTTGAAATGGAGCGGGTTTGACCCGAGATTTGATCTGTTCTGAAGTCCATTTTAACGGATTTGGTTTTGGATTTTGAATCTGTATTAAAAAGGGTCGATATGGATTTTCGTTAAATGGATCGGGCTTTGGATCAAATATTTTTTATTATATTTGGATCTTGTTTAAGTCATATGGGTCATATATAGACCCTGACACTAAAATATGGATCTGTGCCCAGTATCATATGAATCCACTCCATTTCGAGCCCTTTATAGAGCTAGGAGGGAGGCTGATTAACAGAATCAGTGATTTATTTTAGGCCTCATGTGCCTTCAGAAGTGTTTCTTTGTTTTTTATTGTTTGAATATATATACGTGTGTGTGTGTGTGTGTGTGTATATATATATATATATATATTTATGTTCAGCAATTTTGAGTTTTGGGCTAAGTTGCAACCTTGAATATCTAATTGCTGCAGTTTCCATCCACAACTGTTTTGTTTATTGAATTTATCAAATAATAGTGGATTGGATCGGTCAGTTTTGGAGATGCTCAATAAGTTTCTTTGATCTCTAATTGGGTTTTCTGATGTTAGGTGAAAGTTCCATATTTTGTCTGCCTTGTAGTCTCCTGTACGTATGGCCTATTCATGCTTGCACCAGTGTCCGCTTCCTGTTTTTGTTGTTCCATGAGAGTATAAAGGAGAAAACTGGTGGGATTTCTATGCAAGGGATTGTTTCTGTATAGAAAGCAAAGTTGCTGCTGATGCATATGTTGATATGGAATGGTGTTTCAATGATCTTAAAGAAAGAAAAGGTTCATGCCTAGAAATTTACCGGACATCGTGTGCTTATCTGCTCTGCCTTTGTCTGTAAGGATATTCCAAGAATGCCACTTCATTTTTTTTAGATCACACTTTGTACGGTAAGGGTATGCCCTCCTTACCTTTCCACTTAATTTCTTGAAGTTAATATTATAACTCCTTCAAGATCTGTCTTGCCATTTTTGACTCTTTTGTCTGCATTGAGCAAGAATTAGAGGAGAGGCAAGCCAGAAAATTGAATGCTTTCAAAGTGAAGTTGCCTATGGGGGATGGAATCCAGTGGACTGAGTCATCAGTTGATGGTGCAGGATGCGCAATGTGAGCTAAGGGACATGTGAGAGCTCCCATTGTTGAACTTCTTTTTTTATTGACAAAAAACTCACACAGATGGGTGGACTTAGAAGTTTAGTTAAGGGAGGCAAGATTGAAATTTTGTAATAATTTCAGGGGGGAAAGCAAAAAATAATATGGTATATTAGTCAAAAAAATAAAAATTCAAGGAGGACAACTGCCCCCCTCACTTACACATAGGTCCGTCTCTGCACATGCCTTCACTTTGTTCTTTTAAAGATTCAAATCTTTACTTTGCTCTTTTAAAAACTCGAATCTTCATCATCCACTTCGAGAGGTAGAAGAGTTATCACTCTTTTAAAGACTCGAATCTTCACCCCTTTTTTTTTTTTTTTTTTTTTTTTTCAGTTAGGTACTCACACACACATGCATTCATGGAGGTTCGAATCCCTGACTTCTCTTTGAGAAGTAAAAACTTAATACCGTTAGGTCACTGACTTATTAATCCTTATCTTGTTCTTTTAAAGACTCAAATTCTCATCATCCACTTCGGGGAGATGGAAGAGCTACCACGCAACCAAGGCACTTTGTCAAAATGATGTACAGTTGTATTGGTCATTCATGTTATTTGTCCTATCTCATTGTTGAACTAATTTTTTAATTTTTTTTGGTTTAAATAATAAGTGGATGTCTTATATCGGGCCTATGATTCTTCTTTTGCCAACTCAATTTTGTAAAATCAGAGCTCTGAATATGTCCACCAAAAAAAAAAAAAATTAAATAAAAAGAATTGGTACATGTCTAAATTCTCAATTGTTTGAATTTGAAGATGAACCATGATTACTTGTGGCATGTACTGAATGGAGAGGGTTGGATTTTATTAAAAAGGAAATTGCAAAAATAAAAGAAAAAATCATTTTGACTTGAGGGGATGTAGAGTTCTTTGTTCAAATGATGGGGATGGATCTGCTATGGAGGTTTGTTTAAATTAGCACATTTTGGAGAAAATAAATAAATAACTAAATATCATAAACTCTTTTTTAAATTAGCACATTTTTAAGAAAAAAAAAATAAATTAATGCATAAATTACATCGTTGCGTAATCAATATTAGAGTGATCTCACTTTAAAATAAAAAAGAATATTCATATCAAAATATCATAAAATAAAATTATATGAGTGGAACAAAGATGATAGTTTAATTTGGTTAAATAAAATCAAAATAAAATAAATGCAAAACTCTAATTGATTTGTGTGATCATCTAATGTCATGAAATTTTGGTACGAAATGTTCACTTTATAATAATTCTCATATAATTCTCTATCACAAAAAATAAAAAAATAATAAAAAATTTAAAAAACTAATGATATACAAAAAGAAAGAATATAATAGTTTTAGATTCCCAACTCATTGTCACGTTTGCTAACACGTGATAAAGTGAAAATGAGTACTGTATTTTATTTTACTCTATTTTATCTAAAGGAAGAAACTTAAACTTAACATGCGAACTTTAACTTTAATTGGTGGTTGTGGTCAAGTAATATCTTATTTATTTTTTAAGGTGAATGGTAAGAGTTCGAGTTTTCAGATAAGCGAATTGGGTGTGTAAGTGATATGCGTGCATTTCTTGCCAAAAAAAAAAAAAAAAAAAAACTAGTGGTGGTTGAACGGATAGTGATGAATAATGGTGTTTAAGTTAGCATATTAAAAATTATTTCCAAATCTGCTCTCTTATTTTCTAACCCCTTTTCTACCTCCCACCTTCTATCCTATTTATAAAGTTTACAAGGGAATGGTTGAGAGGAAAAAAGAACATTTTAAAAATCAAATTATAAGAGGGAAAATAAAAAATACATTTAAATATTCCTAAAGTCATGCTAATTTCCTTTTTCTAATAACATTTGTGTCATGTAATCAAATATTGACTCTTGAGACCTCTTACAAAGTTAGCTATGCACTTAACCCTATCTCCTTCAATGCTTCTGGTGCCCTTCTTTAATTATAAATAAACTCTCATCATTTATTCGGTCATAATTTTTTATATTTTTGTCATTTTTGTCTCTTTTTTTTTTAATAATTATGAAATTAGTCCCTATAAAACATAAAAAGTGAGGATAAAAATATTTAACTAATAAAAAAAATTAATTAAATATTTATTTTTAAATACAAAATAACAAATTTTGTACACTTATCACGATGAATAATAGTAATTTTATATGGATTCTAACATGTGGTCTTTTTCTTTTTCTTTTCTTTCTTCTTCTTCTTCTTCTTTTTTTTTTTTTTTTTTAACAAACATGCTCAGGAGCAACATATTTTACTTTTATTTTTTCAATGTATGTCATTGTAATGTTTTGGTTATATTAAAAATCTACAAATTAAAAATCATAAATATTATTTTTCTCTTTTTCTTTTAAATTTTTATTTATTTATTTATTTATTTTTATCAAAGTTCACTATGGATTTGAAGTTTATAGATATAATAGAATTACAAGTTGGTTGCATTTAAAGAATGTAAGAATTATTTTTAATTATTTCAATAAGGTGCTTATTTGCGAATTAGGTCCTGAACCATGTCCCAATAACATATACAGTCTATATATAAGCCACCCAGCTTCAGGTGACTGTTTATATACAAAGAGTCAAAGACATATATATATATATCTAGAGAGAGAGAGAGATAGAGAGAGGAGCTGAAAGATGATGAAAAGAAGTGTTATTGCCTCGTCAAAGTATATATATGGTGGTTCTCTCCCTCTCCAGAAAGGTCCTCGTGAGTTTAAAACTTCTCTTATTTTCTTCATTGATTATACATTTGCTAGCGACAATTTAAGGGCTTCGTTTCATTCCCAAACTGGTCAAGATCATAAACCACATAGTACAAGTAGTCGAACCCAATTCAAGACGTTTGTGCGAAATCAAAGTGTATCTGATTTCACTAGCCTTGACGATGCAGTCGCACTGTTCGATCAAATGTCTCAAATGCGACCTCTTCCTTCGGTTGTGCGTTTTAATCAATTGTTGGGGGCCATTGTGAAAAGGAAACATTACAACACAGCAATTTCTTTGCTTAAGCAAATGGAATCCTTAGAAATGGCTGAGCCAGACGCTTATACTCTGGGCATCTTGCTCAATTGTTACTGCCATTTGAATCGGGTCGATTTGGGTTTCTCGGTTCTGGGGAGAATCTTGAAGCTTGGCTATGAAGTGAACTGCACAAATCTCACCACTTTGATGAGAGGACTCTGTAATGAGGATAAAATAGGGCAGGCAGTAGAGTTGTTTAATGACATGGGGGCAAAAGGATTTCGACCTGATGCCGTTACTTGCGGAACGATTATAAATGGGTTGTGCAAAACGGGGAACACTAACGCGGCTATTGAGTTGGTTAAGAAGATGGAAGAAAGAAATTGGGCAACCAATGTAAATGTGTATAACATGATCATTGACAGTCTTTGCAAGGACAGACTGATAGGTGAGGCATTTCAATTTTTTTCAGAAATGATCGGTAAAGGCATTTCGCCGAATGTTGTCACTTACAATTCCTTAATCCATGCCCTATGCAACTCAAACCAGTGGAAAGAGGCTACAAGATTTTTGAATGAAATGGTGAACCAAAATATCAAACCAAATGTAATAACCTTCAATATGTTAGTGGATGCACTTTGTAATGAAGGGAAGGTTGCAGAAGCAGTAGAAATAGTTGAAGTGATGATTCAAAGAGGTGTGGAGCCTAATACAGTCACTTACAATGCATTGATGGATGGATATTGTATGCAAAGCAAATTTCATGAGGCAAAGAAGATACTTGATTTGATGGTTGGTAAGGGTTGTGCCCCTAATGTTCGTAGCTATAACATCTTGATTAATGGATATTGTAAGAAGCCAAGAATGGATGATGCTCTAAGACTTTTTCATAAAATTTCTCAGTTAGGATTGGTTCCTAATACTGTTACTTACACCACTCTTATAAGTGGTTTCTGCAAAGTGGGAAAACCTCTAAGCGCGCAACAACTTCTGAATGAGATGCGATCCCGTGGCCAACATCCTAATCTTATGACGTACTCTACTTTGTTAGATGGGTTGTGTAAGAACCAGTGTCTTGTTGAGGCAATGGCCTTGTTTCAACACATGGAGGAAATTGCATTGCATCTAGATATTGTGGTTTACAACATCCTCATTGATGGTATGTGCAGGGCTGGAAACATTAAAGCCGCAAGGGACCTCTTTTATAGTCTTTCTTGCAAAAGGTTGCAACCTAATGTTCGCACATATAATATTATGATCAATGGACTCTGCAAGGAAGGGTTGTTAAGTGAAGCAAACATATTGCTCAAGAAAATGGAAGAGAGTGGTTGCTCGCCAGATGGTATCACTTACAATACAATTGTCCAGGGATTTCTTCGAAACAATGAAACGTTAAAAGCAATGCAACTTCTTCACGAAATGGTTGAGAAGGGATTCTCTACTAATGCAGGTACTATGACCCTGTTCATGAATTTATCAAATAACGGTGAATTGGATTAGTCAGTTTTGGAGATGCTCAAGAAGTTTCTGTGAGCTCTATTTGGTTTCCTCATGTGAGTTGGAAGTTTCATAATTTGTTGTCCTTGCAGTGTGGCTATAAGTATGGCATTTTGATGGTTACATCATCAGTGTCTTCGTCATGTTTTTGGGGTGAAATTATGAGGAGAATAAGGAAGTTGACTTAGTGAAAACAAGCAAGGGTTTGTTTCTCTGAAAGAAAGCATACTTGTTGCTGAAGCATATGGGAATGGTGTTCCAATATAGAGAAGTTTCAAAGCTCTGAAGGCTACCAAACAACGTGTGCTTATCTGCGCTGCCTTTTTTCTGTCGGGATGTTTCAAGAATGGCATGTCATAAACTTCATTTTCCTTCCTTGTTTACAATTTGTACAATGAGGGTGTGCCATGCCCTCCTTATCCATGTACCTAATTGCTTGATGTTAATATATTCTTGACAATATCATGCTTGATCTACCTTCTTCTTCTTCTTCGTGTAAACTAAATTGAAGTGCTTAAGGATTGAAATTTTCTTCTACTAAAGACCTAAGGCTGTAGGTATCCAAGAACACCATGGTAAAGAATTACTGAAATAAGCTGAAGATGCTAGCTAGCTAGTACGTCTAACAATCTTGGATTCACAAACTTATATTATATCCTAAATTCGACCACGTTAGGAGATTGAGCTTGAATTTTTGTCATATTTACGAAAATTTTAAAATCTATATGTATGATATTCATACCTGCACGTTTTCGACTGTGTAGCCATTCCACATTGCACAGTGGTCTTGACCCTGCGATTTTCATCTTCCTCAGTTGTTTCATTTCTGTTGTAACACAATAACATTACCACTTTTCTAAACGACGATTTCGAAACATCGTCTCTAGTCTACTAGTATGATATCTACTTAGCATATATAGTAAAATGTATACATAACTTGAGATGCCTTCTTAATAAATTTCAACTAAAAACAAAAACAAAAACAAAAAAAAAACCACAAAGTATCCCATGCTCAGGTGCTGAAGCAAGTCCAAGTACTGAATATCTCATGGTTTGAATACCTACATATGGTTGTTTGTAACTGTGTGTGGATAGAGAGAGAGAGAGTGAGGAGCTGAAAATAATGAAAAGAAGTGTTGTTGCCACATCAAAATTTGGATACGGTGGTGCTCGATCTTTCTCTCCAGAAAGATACTTGTCTTAAACATTGTATTATTTTCTTCATTGATTATCCAATTGCTAGCGATAATTAGGCTGAAGCAATGAACAAAGGTTCACAAGGAAGAGCCCTAAACGATTGAATTTGGTGGAAAGCAATTTTTGCGATCGAGTTAGGCCGTTTCTGATTAGGGTCTTTTCGGGTTAAAACGTATTCAAAGAAATAGTTCAGAAAAAACTGAGTCAGCCCGCCATTTGACTTATTTGACGGCCCAAACAGACTCCAAAATCTTCAGCAACTTGTCATGCATCACGTGACATTCGAGAATAGGAAAGATTTGGGACTGGTAATTATTTTTTCTATAACGTTAATGTCAGTCCAAATATATGAAGATCCGTCGAATTAGCAGTTTTGTTTTGTCTAGATACCTTAAAAAAAATTGCATTGAAACCATTTATGTTTATCAATTTTTCTCTCAAAATCTGAGAACTTGTGTGATGATATTTTAATCCCTCTTTCCATTCCCATTCCGAAAAATGCATTTAGCCTTATTTGTCGACCAATTTTTTTTTTAAACAATATGAAAATTGTGATGAAATTTGTGTTCCACCCAGATTTTTATAACGAAGGTTTTGAACCAACTAAGATACCTACAATTAGTTTTGTATTTTCCAAACATGAATTAGATTGCCAACTTATAGTAGTACTGTTGTGATTTTTCATACCATGGATTAGAACAACTCTGACATGTTTGGTTCTTGTTAATTTTTCTTTTTATTTATTTATTTATTATTATTATTTTTTTGAAGCTATAACTAGTATTTGGAACCTGTTGGATACGTAAATCAGTTCATTGCCAACATGGAATTTGTAGAACATTGTCACTATTTGGAAAGGCTTCACATATGCAGCTATTTTTATTCCATCATGAAACATTTGCCAATGTGGGACACTTACCTTATTTATTTGCCCTACATTAGATTCATGATAAGGGTATTTTAAATCTTTAATTTTCTACCAAAATAAATACTGTAGCTTATGCTTCCGTATAGGTATTATATGCTAGCCGATTTTGTCATTTTTGGTAGTATTGCAAAAATGGTGCAATAAAAGTTTCTTGCTTTCTTGTTTTCAATAGGAGAAAAAATACTGTTTTATCTTGATTTTATCGTTTGATTTGGCTAAAGTACTTTACAAACCTTCGACCTTTTATTTTGAAATACAAAGAAATATCACTAAGTTACAACCTCTGATGATGTTATGTATAAGCTAACATGAGATGAAAACAAGGGTAAATTGTCATTGAATAAATTGAAGGTAAAAGACCTCATTCAAACATGATCATCTTTTACTATAAACTTTGACTTTTAAATATAAAATGGGATTTGGACTCTAAAAAACAACTCATTATAATCTTTAACCTCGTATTTAAATTTATAATTATACTTCTTGTAAATATAATTCTCACATGTTTGAGCAAATTCACTTCTTGAATTTTTATAGGTAGAGTTTGAATAGTGGTCTTTTTAATCTAGATTTATTTCAGATTGAGAGCAATATATGAGGCCACCAAAATTCAGGGTGATTTTTTTTGGGGTATATATATATATAGTTATTAGATTGAAAAACATAATGAGTCACTTTTCAAAGTCTAACATTAGATCAAGAATCTTGTGAAACAGTGGTATCTCTTTTATTTATCAAAGTGAACGGTGAGAGTTCGAATCTCCAAAGGATACTTCGGAATTAATCCTATTTTGTTTCTAATTTTGCAAGGAATGAGACCCAAGTTTACTTTGTAGTGGCTAAACAATTACTTAATATCTCATTATAATATTTGTGTAATTATGTTTGTGATGAGAGAGAAAGAGATAGATTTGCTTTGTGGATGGAAAGAGGGGTAAAAGATCTTGATTAAGAAGGAAAGTAAAAACAAAGAGAAAGGAAAAAACAGTTTAACCCTTAAAATATGGGTAATGCCCATCTTTAATTTTTTTTAAACATGTGTTCTAATTATATTGGACCATATAAGCGGAAGGATGACCTTCATCCCTGTAAGGGAAGGATCCAAGCATTTTCCTTTTATGATTTTCTATACATATTGTTTTCATGTTTAAAATTATGAAACTCATTAGATTTTGTAATTGATTAGCTTTTTTATAACTATAGTGCAAATAAATATGGTCATTGATAAGAATTCATCGGAGGAGTCAGACTGGGCATGTCTTCCTGAGAATTTATTGGATATGATTGTGGACAAGTTGGTTTCGCTCTCCGACTATGTTCCCTTTGTTGACCAATTCCCTGAGCTTGCTAGCATTGACCCACCCACCATGGCTGGAGATAGCTCTGTCTGGATCCCATCACCAACAGGCGATTTCTCACTTTGCCATACGATAGGATGGCTTGAGACACAGCGACAGGCGAAACCTTGGACCACTTAATTTGGAACACCTTTTCTATCCCAAGATGTAAGTTCTCCCTCTGGCTTGCAATACAGAAGAGGCTCCCACACTTGATCGAAGCAGCATGAGGTCCTTCGCGGTCCAAGAACCTGTCATCTATGCAGCCTGGTTGATGAATCACACAACCATCTCTTCTTCGCATGCTCCTTTACCAGACCAATATTTTGGATTGCACTTTCACAAAAATGCAGATTTCATTCGCCCCCCCCTCATCTTGGGCTGATCTGGTCGAATGGACAACAGCACGATGGTTAAATAGGGATTTGAGGTCCTTGGTAAACAAGCTCATGCTCTCTACCACCATCAATTGGATCTGGATGCACCGCAATAACAGACTTTTCAAAAACCAAAAATCAATACAAAACATTGTTTTTAGGAAAATCAATGATATGATCCGATCGAAATTGATTACCACAACAGTCAAAGACTCCTTTCTTGCAAGACGGCTGCAACTGGACCGGGATCTGCCGTTGTTCATCAGGCCATCGCCGGTTCTGAACCCTAATTTCTGTTCTCACCGGATGAATGTATAATTTAGACATGCATGGTCTAGGGTTTGATAGACTAAAAGTGTCTTTATGCTACTGTTAGGCCTGGGCCTCTATATGGCTTTGTTGTTTTGGGCTCTCCCTGTGTCTTCTATTTGTATGCTCTTGATGGTTTAGGCTGTCCACATTTTGTGGGTCTCCCTTTGTATACTGTATTTTTCCATTTTCAATGACACTTACTTTCATCATTTATAAAAAAAAAAAAAAAACTTATTGTCATAATACGTGATAAAGTGGAAATGAGCACTTTATTTTATTTTACTCTATTTTATCCAAGCAAAATATTTAGCCTAAAATGACGTCTTTCAACTTCAACCGGTGATGGTTGTGGTACAGTAGTATTTTCGATCTCTATTTTTTAAGAGTGTGTGAGTGATATGTGTGCATTTCTTTCTAATGAAAAAAAAAAAAAAATCAATGGTGGTTGCACGGAAAGTGATGTGTAATCAATTTTTCAATAATGAGAAAAAGAAAAACTATTTCCAAGTCTACTCTCTTATTTTCTAATCCCTTTTCTACCTCCCACCTTCTATCCTATTTATAGAGTACACAAGAAATGCACACATACCACTAACACAAGCGTGCAAATAACATTTTAAAAATCAATTTATAAGAAAAAAATAAAAAATATATTTAAATATTCCTAAAATCCTGCTAATTTTTTTTTTTTTTTAATAACATTTGTGTTATGTAATCAAGTATTGACTCTTAAGACCTCTCACAAAGTTAGTTATGCACTTAACCATATCTCCTACAATGCTTCTCTTCTTATGCTTTTCTTTAATTATAAATAAACTCTCATCATTTATGCCGTCATAATTTCTTATATTTGTGCCATTTCTACTTCTTTTATTCTCATTATGAAATTAGCCCCATAAAAAGTAAGGATAAAAATATTTAACTAATAAAAAAATTAATTAAATATTTCTTTTTAAGTACAAAATAACAAATTTTGTGCATTTACCAAGATGAATAATAGTAATTTTATATGGATTCTAACATGTGGTCTTTATATATATATATATATATATATATATATATATATATATATAAATTTATCTTTAACAAATATGCTCAGATATTCAAAGTAACATATTTTAATTTTATATTTTCAATGTATGTTACTGTAATGTGTTGGTCATACTAAAAATGTACAAATTAAAAATCATAAAAATTACTTTTCCTTTTTTCTCTAAAATTTTTGTTTATTTATTTTTATCAAACTTCACTATGGATTTGAAGTTAATAGATAAAATAGGAGGGTAAAGTGCAAATAATCCCCTGAACTTTACTCTCTTTTCCTAAAAACTCCCTGAATTTTTTTTTTACAATTAACCCCCTAAACTATCAAATTGTTGCAAAAGTTACCCACCGGCAAGTTTCCATTTGGTTCTTCCAGCTAAATAAGAGTGCGATTTTCACATCACAGGCTGTAAACTTAATATAACGAAACTACCCTTGCTACCTTATCACCCACAATTTCTAAATATAAGATTCTTTCCAACCCCTTTTTTTTTTTTCGAATTGAAGAGATCACCAAATTGAACCCGGAATCAATCGTCGAATGTTGAAATCCTATCAATACCATATCGCCATCTCTATTTGGAACAATTGAATGCAGAGAAGATAAAATAAAATTTCCAAATTGATAATACTTTCCAATTTTTTTTTTTTTTTTTTTTCAATTGAAGAGATCACCAAATTAAACCCAAATCATTCGTCGAAAGTTAAAATCCTAACCTACCAAATCGCCATCACTGATTGGAACAATTGAATGTGGAGAAGAGTCAAATGCCTCCATCTCCCTCTCGGTTCATCGTAGAAATCTAGAAATTCAGATTTCTTTGTTCATCTTTTTTAGCACAACTTAGATCAAGGGAGGTTGTTGGCACCAAGGAGGGCTTGGCGGCGGTGGTGAGTGGTGGTGTTCGGTGAGACACGTAGTCAATAATTTTGTTAAAGGTGCGATTGGAAGTGCAAACTCAGAAGCTTGAGCCATGGTTGGCGCCGTGACAACGAGGAGAGAGAAATTAAGGTTAGAGAAAGAAATGTTACGGCGAAACTCATTTTTGTGGCTCTCATGGTTTGGTTCTTGAGTTAGTGGGGTGTTGTGAGAAGAAGGAAAATGGAGAGGGAGGTTGGTCGGAGGGGGTTGGGAGCGGCCGTGAATGGTGGAGGTAGTTGGGGAAGAGGCGACCATGAACATGGAAGGAGGAGTAATAAAATGAGGTGGGGAACATGTGTTCCACGCTAAAGTGTGATGGATAGGTGCTGTTTTGTGATAAGATGATGAGTTGTTCAATTCTTATTGGTTATTGGAATTTTGTTTTGACACATCAGCAACACAAGTTTATAAAACACTCAAATGGCGTAAGTTAACTAAAGGATAATTTAGTAATCTTCTTTTTCCGGTACTGGAAATCTTACTGTTGTCCTCAACTGCAACTTTTTAATAGTTTAAGGGGCACTTGTTAAATCAGGAGGCTTTTGTGCAAATACTTAAAAGTTTAGGGGTTATTTGCACTTTACCCTAAATAAAATTTCAAGTTGGTTGCATTTAAAGAATGTTAAAAATTATTTTTAATTATTTCAAGAAGGTTGTTATTTGCGAATGAAGTCTTGGGTCCTGAAACATGTCCCAATAACAAATATATAAGCCACCCAGCTTTGGGTGACTGTTTATATACAAAGAGTCACAGACACACACACACACATATATATATATATCGAGAGAGAGAGAGAGAGAGAGAGAGAGAGAGAGAGAGGAGCTGAAAGATGATGAAAATAAGTGTTATTGCCTCGTCAAAGTGTATATATGGTGGTTCTCTCCCTCTCTAGAAAGGTCCTCGTGAGTCTACAACTTCTCTTTTTTTCTTCATTGATTATACATTTGCTAGCGATAATTTAAGGGCTTCGTTTCATTCCCAAACTGGCCAAGATCATAAACCACAGAGTACAAGTAGTCGAACCCAATTCAAGATGTTTGTGAGAAATCAAAGTGTGTTTGATTTCACTAACCTAGACGATGCACTCGCACTGTTCGATCAAATGTCTCAAATGCGACCTCTTCATTCGGTTGTGCGTTTTAATCAATTGTTAGGGGCCATTGTGAAAATGAAACATTACAACACAGCAATTTTGTTGATTAAGCAAATGGAATCATTAGAAATGGCTGAGCTAGACGCTTATACTCTGGGCATCTTGCTTAATTGTTATTGCCATTTGAATCGGGTCAATTTGGGTTTCTCTGTTCTGGGGAGAATCTTGAAGCTTGGCTATGAAGTGAACTGCACAAATCTCGCCACTTTGATGAGAGGACTCTGTAATGAGGATAAAATAGGGCAGGCAGTAGAGTTGTTTAATGACATCGGGGCAAAAGGATTTCGACCTGATGCAGTTACTTTTGGAACGATTATAAATGGGTTGTGCAAAACGGGGAACACCAGTGCAGCTATTGAACTGGTTAAGAAGATGGAAGAGAGAAATTGGGTGAAGATGCAAAGAATTAACTCTCACTATTTTGACAGAGTCTCATTACATTTTCAATTAAAAAATCCTCCTTACATTCTCTCCTTCCTGCCTATTTATAGGCATTTACTAGTGCTATTAGAATGCTATAAGTGATTCCCTAAGTTGGGTCCCTCGACATCAGGCTTCATTCCTTACGGGCCTAGCTCTTCTCTGAAGATCCCATGCACTCGGCCCATTCCGCAACGTCATCGTGTGGGCTGAATCCAGTTTCTCTGCCCGATCCTCTTTTCGTGGGTCATATCCAGCCCATGTCACTTCCGGTATCCTTAACTGCCCCCATAATTACTCCCTAATTAATTAGGGGGTAATTATTAGAGGCTGTTAATCATAGCTTGACTGCTCGAGAAGATCTTATGGAAAAATGGACGGTTGGATTTGGAAGTCGGTGTTTCGAGATTCAAAAAACTCCTCGCTTTCCTGACTCTTCGGCCTTCGGGCCTACCTTGTCTTTATAAGCCTCAGGATGTTCCATCAATCCTCTTTACTGTCCCTATCTTGCTTTACTGTTAGTCGAATCTTCATCTGTCTCTTTTGAGTTAAATCTCCTCCGACGAACTTTTGCAAAGGCTTCTTTTTCCGGTGATCTTGCAGCGCTCTTCGCGGTGTTCAATCTTTCGAGGTTAGTTTTGCTTTTTCCTCCTCCTCTAGGAATTTGCTGCTCTTCCTCAGAATCTTTGTTCATTTTCACAACGACTATAGACTTAGGTGTTCTTCGTATGAGACTTAACCTTCCTGATGACATTCAAATTAGGGCTTGCCCCAAAAATGTAGATATTAGGACTGGTGCTGGCCTTCTTCTCGGCGGGGTCTTGTTTTCCAATCTTCAATTAAATCTCATTAGGTTCCCTCTGCATCCCTTCTTTAGCTACGTTTTTAATAAACTGAAATTTTCCCCTTTGTAAGTAAACCCAAATTTTCTTAGGGTTCTATTTGTTATGTTACTTCTGAACCGGGACAGAGGTCTAGATCTTGACCTCATGGATCTTCTCCTCTGTTACAAGGTTAGCAAAATCCGAACTGATGAACCGTTTTACCATTTCTACCCAATTGAGAAGAGGTCCATATGCAAAGATAAAATCAAATTTGAGAAGGGTTGGAGGAAAAATATAATTGGGACTAGGGGAGCCTGGTTTTCTCCAGCCGTAAAGGACTTCCCTATCTCGAGCGCTTTTGGTGAGTGCTCTGTTTCTTCGTATAAAAAATACAAAACCCATAAGAGTGACTGTCTTTGCGAGATTTGCGTTCCTCGCTTTTGTACTTTCTTATGCCGTTCCTTAAGAATTCCTTGTGATGATTTGAGCTACGGTGTTTGTAGGGATAGGGATAACTATTTGAAGAAGTACATTCTGAACGACATTCCCTCTTGCTCAGAGCTCCTTACCTCAGACAACCTTCTTGCTCTCAGCCCTTGGCAAGGCAATGAGTCAACTCCAGATCCCTTCCTTCGGCAGGAAGAAAGCTTCACCCAGGACTGTTGTTGCCCCTGCGACAACTTCTTCCCCAGCTTCAGTATCTTCTTCTGCCACTATTTCTGATACCATTCCTTCCATCGATCCGACCGTGACAACTACCGACCCGGTCTCTAACACTCCACCTGTCAATCCGAACGTGACCCCTTCTGTCAGCAACCTTCCCAGCTCTGCTACTGTTGCTGCTCTGGAAAAGGCGAGAGGAAAAAGGCCTCAGCTTGACAGTGCTCTCAGCGTTGATGACATCCCTTTGTCACAAAGGGTTAGGCCCTCTGGGCCAAGTGTGTTCGTGCCTCCTCTGACTAGGCCCCCTCAGACTAGGCCTCCTGCCCTCTCTGGGCCTATCTCTATTAATGCCTCTGCCTCTGTATCGGCACCATGGAGCCCTCGCTTTATTCGAAAGGACGGATCGTCTGTAAAGCCGGACGAGACCATATTCAAGGATGGTCAGACCGCTATGGCACACTACAGGAGCATGTGGACTCCTAAAGATATTGAGGTAACCAAGGGTCTGTCTCAGAAAGAAGTGTTCAGCCGGTTCCCCTTGTCTGCCATGGAGGTAACTTTTGCTCCTCAGTCAATGAATCTTTACATAGTCTTTACATTTGATTTCTTCTGA